CATCTTGGTAGTTTTCTTTCAAAATTTTTGGTTGAGCAACTCAGATTCTGCTGAGTCTGGAAAACATGTCTAGATTTCAGCCTTACGAAGATTCTTTCGGTGAGGTACTATGAATATAGAGGATGAGGCAAAAGTAGGTTTACATTTGTTCGTATGGAAAATAATACAATAACTATTCCTATATAATAAAACCCTAATATGCAAATCAACCGAACAGCAGAATGACCGGTTGTTATGATGTGCACTGACCACCAGGGGGCAAATGCTCAATGTAGCAGCTGCCCTCTAGTGGTCAGTGCGCTCCAGAAGCCAGGCTCACGGCTGGCGATTGCTGCGGTGGTGGCGGGAACCTCTCTCGCTGCCTCCACTCCAGTGCTAAGGATTGACAGCTTAGGCCCGCTCCCTGTGGGGTTCTGGACTACAAGAGGGCTGGGCTGGGCTGAGGTACTCCCTGCCTTTTAAGTGTATTAATGTCGTGCACTGGGCCTCTAGTAAATAATAAGAATAAACTGTTTTGAATACTCACAAGTGTAAACCTACTTTTGCCCCATTCTGTAGTTCGAAGAGTAGAAAGATCTCCAAGTTTATTTATAAAAGGCAGTATAAAAACTATCACTTTTTTCTTCAGGTGATAACTTACAGATCTGATAATACTATGATTGATTTGTTGAATTAAATTTTAGTTCAGCCTGGCTGGATAGTTCAGTTGCTGATAGTTCAGTTGTCTTGATACACCAACATTGTGGGTTTGATCCCCAGTCAGGGCACATACAAGAATCAACCAATGAATGCATAAATAAGGGGAGCAACAAATTGATGTTTCTTTTTTCTCTTTCAACTCAATAAAAAAAATAAAAATTAGTCCAGTATATTAGTTTGCAAGGGAGTGTATAAAACATAAAACTAAATGTGGTTGAATAGGTGGAAATTTTAATTACTTAATATAATTAATATGTATAATACGTTTTATGGCATTTAGCTGCCTAATATTTGATATATATTGAACCAAATTCAGTTTTAGGGTTAGAGATGATACTTAAAATTCAGCAGATAAGGTTAACCAAGTGGTAATAAATACTGTCAGGCTATTTTAGAAATGCTATAGTTGTTTCATATGTAGATGCTGTTATTTATGTTTATATATTTTACTAGAGGCCTGGTGCATGCATTTGTGCACCAGTGGAGTCTTTCGGCTTGGCCTGTGCCCTCTCTCAAACTGGCCTGGGAGGGATCGTGGGAGGTTGGCCAGCCAGGGAGGGACCACGGGAGGGCTCCAGGGCATGTCTGGCCTGTCTCGCCCAGTCCAGATTGGCCGGACCCCAGCAGCAAGCTAACCTACCAGTTGGAGCATCTGCCCCCTGATGGTCAGTGCACATCATAGCAACTGGCTGACTGATGGGTTGGACACTTAGCATACTAGGCTTTTATATCTATGATGATGGCTATAGTTATAGAATGTTCAAAGTACTTTTAACCTAAGATATCAGTTATGTAAAATAGGAAAGTCACTACAGATTCCTTTCTTAACTGTGTAGTGTGATCATATTGTGTGTTACATTTAAAAAATGCAATTAAATATTACCATCTTAATGAAACTAATTAGAAATTAAGTTTGAGCCATGAAAATTTTTTTAAAATACACTTTTATTGATTTCAAAGAGGAAGGGAGAGGGAGAGAGAGATAGAAACATCAATGATGAGAGAGAATCATAGATTGGCTGCCTTCTGCACCCCCCCTAGTGGGGGTGGAGCCTGCAACCCAGGCATATGCCCTTGACCAGAATTGAACCCAGGACCCTTCATTCCGCAGGCCAAAGCTCTATTCAATGAGCCAAACTGGCTAGGGCTTTGGTTTGATTTTTAAATCATAGCCAATGAGTTCTCTCCTGTTGCTTAGATAATTTAATCTATTCTTACTAAAAATATTTTTTTTTTTTTTTTTAGTGAGCCTAAATGTTTACTTCTTAGTTTGGTTTCTCATTTGGTAACTGAATAGAAGCAGCTTTCCTTATTGTGTAATTTCTTAGCATCATCTAAGCAGCACTATTCTTAAACATTATCTTCTGTTGTAACTTAAGATATGATCCTTTAACAAGTTGCTAATCTTAATTCTAGCAATCTTGTCTATGTCTCGTTGAGATAACTGTTTTATACTGTATAAAGCATTTATAAGTCTTGAATTATTTTTAGCTAAAAGTGCTATTTTTTCATAATGTTAATTATTTACATTGAGGGGGAAAATGCCCTCACTAACTTACTTTATGATGGCATAAAGATTTGAGGATGGGGAGACAATGAACATAGTTATTAGTTAAAGTGGAGGTCAAAAGGGAAGAAATAAAAAACTTTAAAGGGCTAGAGTTTTTGTTGGAGGGAGATGGTGTTTTTTTTTTTATTTTCTAAAGATGTTATCATTCTAGATGTCTTGCTCTTTGGCTCCTGAATTACTGATTGATATCTGAGTGCCTATGAAATAGAAATGGTTAACCTTTTGGGTTTCTTTTATTTCCTATTCCCACTTAAAGTGAGGCTTTTATACCTCAGTGCAAGTGTGGGACCAAAAATGATTCAAAGGAGGTTTCCTTTGCAGAACACTCAGCCCCTTTCTCTGAGAGGCAATAGTGAGTATCCTATTAAGAGGGTAGACTCTATTACTGAAATTGGGATTTCATCTCACGTCCAGAATGGTGGACCTTGGAAACTAACATATCAACCAACCTTCCTATAAAATTGGAAGTGTATTATATGTTACTTTCATAACCTTAGTATATTCTTTGGTATCCACTTTAAGGCATTTATTATAATATCTGTGGTATTTGCCACCTCTACTTGATTATATTGCTAGAAATAACTCCTTGTGCTGCATGGAATCACTGCTGCCTGGATGATTTCTTGCTGAATCAGCTGATAAAGGAAACTAGAAAGATATGCATTTGATAATATACTCCCTCTAAGACTGCCCAGAGGCCAGCTTCTATCCACTCTTATGGCAGGGAAGGAATGCATAATGGATTCTCTTCACCCTCTGACTAGAATGCAGTGAACTCTCACAGTTAAAAAAATAATAATTTTTATTGATTTCAGAAAGCGGAAGGGAGAGGAGAGAGAGAAAAACATCAGTGATGAGAATCGTTAATCAGCTGCACACCCCCTACTGAAAATTGAGCTCCCAACCTGGACATGTGCCCTGACCAGGAATTGAACTGTGACCTCCTGGTTCATGTATCAATGCTCAATCTCTAAGCCACACCTGCCTCTCAGTTTTTTGTTTAAATATATTTTTATTTACAAAAAATATATATATTTTGGTGTTTCTTTTTTCTCTTTCAACTCAATAAATAAGAAAATTAAAAAAAAATTAGTCCAGTATATATATTTTTGCTCTATCCACTGAGCAAAAACGGCTAGGGCTGCCTTTCAGTTTATTTTATTTTATTATTTATTTTACTTTATTTATTGCATTTTATTTTATTTTTTGCCTCTCAGCTTTTACATTCTTCCCCACTCCCTGTCCATTCCACCAAATCCCAATTTCTTTAGTAAGGCATGGTTTTATTTGGTGTTATTTTTGCATATTTGATTTTCTAGTCCTGGTGTCTAGATTAGCTAGTAAGAAGTAAGAAGCATTAGTAGTTCACAATAGGAATAAGTATAATATTTCCTGAAGTGCCTATAACATTTTTACAAAGGAAAGAAGTTTTATCAGACTCAGGTCCTGTAAATCAGTGAACTCGTTTTATTCTTTAAATTTTGATAGACATGCTTTAAAATAATTTAACTGCCTATATCCCCATTGTTTTTAAAATTCTTAAGGGGAATATTGCCTTGGGTGAAAAGAATCCCCGTATGTTTATTAGTTAATAAATAAACTGTCTCCTAAATAGTAATTATAGGAAATGATTTTATCTAATCAAAGCCTGTTTTAAAGCCCTGGCTGGATAGCTCAGTTGGTTAGAACGTTGTCCCTATACTCCAAGGTTGTAGGTTCAATCTTAGTTCAGGGCACACACAAGAAGCAGCCAATGAGTGCATAAAGAAGTGGAACAACAAATTGATGTTTCTCTTTCTCTTCCAATCAATCAGTTAATCAATTTTAAAAAACAAAACCTGTTTTTTAAACAAATCATGAAGTGGTAAGTGAAAGTGTATGTTCCCTGTTGGCTCAGAATTATTAGTCAGCTTCCTAGGCTCCCTGTTAAACTCAGTGGATGGAGTGTTTGTTTTTGGAGGAGTCTCTAGTTTCCTGCCAGTCTGTTAAATGCAAATGTTGTTTCTGTGATCTGGGTGGCAAAGTTTATAAACCTGATGCCTCATATGTTAAATGTGTTTCATTTTGCCCAGGTGTGAGTCCTGAGGTCACACCTACTCTTTGAAGAAACCAAGAACATAATATTCATTTTTTCTCTCTATACCACCAACTAATATCCTTTGTTATTTTTCATGTCTGATACAAGTTAGAGTCACAAATTGTTTGGTTTAGGATTTATCTTTCAAGTTACCTTCTAAGGCTGCAAATTCCAACCTTTTTCATCTCATGGCACACACAAACTACTAAAATTCTGCGGCACACCAAAAATATATACTCCTATATTTTTGTCAATTTGACAGAAAAATAGGAATAATTTTGATTCATTCACACTGGATGGCTATTGTTGTGATATCATTCTTTTTTTATTTTTTTTTATTATTAGTTAAGGTATTACAAATGTGTCCTCATCCCCCCCATTAATCCCCAACCTCCCACCCACACAAACAGACACTCATGCTCCCATCCCCCTGTTGTCCATGCCCATTGGTTTGGCTTATACATATGTATACAAGTCCTTCGGTTGATGTGGTATCATTCTTTTATTTGATAATCTAAGGAAAAGAAGTCAGTGCTTCTGGCTAGTCAGGTATTGCATGTTTAAAAAATTTTTGTGACACACCGCTTGAAAATTGCTGTTGTAAGGTGGTGTGCTTGTCTCATTCATCTTAGATAAAGTTCTTTGTCTTTTCAGTTGTCCTTATTGGAGATTCTGGTGTTGGAAAGAGTAATCTCCTGTCTCGATTTACTCGAAATGAGTTTAATCTCGAAAGCAAGAGCACCATTGGAGTAGAGTTTGCAACAAGAAGCATCCAGGTTGATGGAAAAACAATAAAGGCACAGATATGGGACACGGCTGGGCAAGAGCGATATCGAGCTATAACATCAGCGTAAGTCTCAATAGTTTTTTAAGTTCTGTGAAATAGGCTGCCATCAAGTGAATTGGTTGCCATTAAGTTAATTAGCTGACTTTTGTTATCAAAAAAGGTTCCCCCCCCCCTTTTTAGGAATGCCAGTATTAGGATTTTGAAATTTATTTATAAATGTGTTTTTAAAAATATATAATCCATGCCCTAGCCAGTGTGGCTTGGTTGAGTTGTCCCTCCCATGCACCAAAAGGTTGGTTCAATTCCTGGTTGAAGCACATGTCTGGGTTGTGGGATCCCAGTAGGTGGTGTGCAGGAGGCAACCAATTGATGTTCTCTCTCTCTCTCTCTCTCTTCATCTCCATTCCTCTCTCTAAAATCAGTAAAAACATTAAAATATATATAATCCATATATTTAGTTCTTCCTAGTGTTTCCTTCTATTTTGTAGTTGTTTTCTAATAGTTACATATGTTTCTGTTTTCAGATACTATCGTGGAGCTGTAGGTGCCTTGTTGGTTTATGACATTGCTAAACATCTCACATATGAAAATGTAGAGCGATGGCTGAAAGAACTGAGAGATCATGCTGATAGTAACATTGTTATCATGCTTGTGGGCAATAAGAGTGATTTGCGTCATCTCAGGGCAGTTCCTACAGATGAAGCAAGAGCTTTTGCAGGTTAGTGATATGAGTTTCATGTTATTACAGTGATTCTGTATTTCTTACTGTCATATTTTCAGTTTTGATAACCCTTCCAATGAGGTTAGTCACTCACAGTAGTTTCAGAGAAGTAAACATGAATAAATAATGAATGTTCAGCAAGGATTGTTGTTTTTAAAGTATATGATGACTGTTGGGCTCTTTCGCTTAATTTTGAGTCATTAAAACACTATAGTATTTTGAGTTTTTGCTGCCAAAAATTGAATATAAATACTGTCTCCTTTTCTCTCCTGGAAAGGTTAGATGAAATCTATTCTGTATTCTTGTTTCTTTTTCCTTTATGCTTCTATGTTTACCAAAGCTGCTCTATGTGGTTCTGAAAAGTAGTAGACCAGGGAGTGTCAAGGATCATAGGCATTCAGCTGCTTAGGAATTATAACTTTTTAAGCTTTACAGGGGATCTACGTATCTCTTGCCACTGTTCTGGAAGGGCATTCTACCAGAAGGCAACGTTGTACATTCTTGGCTAGTGAAGGTTGTGAGCCTCCACTAGTGATTATGCCGATTTTTGGTTTTCCAGGCAAGAAGCTTTATTTCAAATAATATAGTTATAGAATTCTAAGTGAATCTCATATACCCATCCTTGTTTATACCATAGCTGTGTGGTTAAAGGACCATAGGGATAGAAGTAGCAGGATATTTGATAATTTACTATATTTTGAGTAGTGTTATCATTCTTGTGGTAGTATTTAGGTATACCAAGTATTTATTTTAATGAACCCAGTAAAAATTTTTTATGTTTAATTTTAATCTACTAAAGTGTAAGTATCCTTTATTGCCAAGAATGGTATCCTTATTGCCAAGAAGTTGGGGAAGTGGAACAACAAATCGATTATTTCTCTCTCCCTCTCCCCTTTCCTCTCTCTCTAAAATTAATTTTATGAAAGGAAAGGAATGGTCTTTTATATTTCCATTTAAAGCCTTGAGTGTATTACATCTCTTGTATTAACTTTGCACAAAACTGAAGTTTTTGCATCTCCCCACAGAAAAGAATGGTTTGTCATTCATTGAGACATCAGCTCTAGATTCTACAAATGTAGAAGCTGCTTTTCAGACAATTCTGACAGGTAAGACTTGCATTTTCAGATTATACCAGTGGGAAATAAAAGTTTTAGGGAGATAATTTAAACAAATTAATTGGGAAAACAAACTGTCACATTCTCTGAGAATGACTATCATTTTAGAGAGCTACTAGAACAAGAGCTATAAAATTAGTTACAACTTTTGCTTGTTGAACTTTAATCATTCTAATTTATCTGGTTTATAGTGGGAAAATACTTTGAAAATTATTTGTTCACTTCTATTATTATCCATGTATTCTATAATTCATGGTCACAGAGTAATGCTTAAATGTACTTTCTAAGATAAATATTGAAATCCTGGCTATGGAAAGATATAATAAATATAATAAATGCCTTATTGAAATTCAGTAAAGTAAAGGCATTCTAGGTTCTGATGTGTGTTATAGAAGCAGCTAGGGAAAAATATGTTCTTAAAAATTTAAATGAAAAAAAAAAGTAAAATTCTCTCATGGTATATTGTAGAAGAAGCAGAGTGTCACCCGTGGAAAAAATCAGCCAGTTATTGAATATAGAAAAGTTAGGTAGTGGGGAAGGAACAAAGTTCATGCTGTTTTGGAATGTGGATATGCAGACCAGGTCAACCTCAAGTATAAGAAGGCATTTTATTTGTGATGACTCATATTTACCTTGTCTTTATTAATCTTACTCCTTTAATAAATACTTCGATAGGTTGTTTTAAGTACTTTAAAATTATATGTTACTTTTAAGAACTTGATAGTTATTTGTTTTTAAATATATTTTTTATTGATTTCATAGAGGAAGGGTGAGAGAGAGAGAGAGAGAGAGAGAGAGAGAGAGAGAGAAACATTGATGATGAGAGAGAATCATTGATTGGCTGCCTCCTGCACACCCTGCACTGGGAATCCAGCCCGCAACCCCTGGCATGTACCCTGACCACAGAATCAAACCATGACCTCCTGGTTCATAGGTGGATGGTTAACCACTGAGCTGGGCAAGAGCTCGCTAGTTTTAATACATAGGATAGTCTTGTTCTAAAAAAGTCTATATGGAGAAATGGTTAAATAAATGTTTTCAATTATAATGTAACAAGATTCTTGGTATGCAGCACTTGTATTAGATGTAAACAGGTTTTAACTTTTAAATGTCTTATTTTACTCTAAAAAGTAGGGAATAGACCTAGGATTTAAAAGCATGGACTTGGAAGCCTGACTTGGGTTCTAGTCTGGCTCCTCCACTTATTAGCTCTATAATCTTAGGTAAGTTACTTAATCTTTTTAGGTCTTACTTTTTTTTTTTTTGCCTATAAAATTTAAATATATTTTGGGGAGTTCTGTTATTTTCTTTTTGTTGAGAGTCTCAATTTATAACAAATACCTGTGATACGATTTTCCTCGACTGTTAGGTTGTGACTTCAAGGTTTTTGTCTCTGTAATCCATAGAAAAGAATTGCCTGTCACTGAGACATCTACTCTAGATTCCAAAATGCGTACATGAGTTTGTGCATATAAAATACTTAGCTATTCCTGGTACATAGTGAACATGTGATAAATTAGTAGCTAAATAGCAATTAAGGTATGAAAAAATTTAACTTAAAAAAACTAAATATTGGTGATTCGTATACCTATCTTATTAGAATTCTTTTCTGTTATCAAAAAATAGTAACTAGCACTGGCTAGTTTGGCTCAGTGGATAGAGCATCAGCATATGGACTGAAAGGTCCCAGGTTCGACTCCAGCCCAGGGCATGTACCTTGGTTGTGGGTTCACATCCCCAGTAGGGAGGGCGAGCAGGAGGCAGCCGATCCATGATTCTCTCTCATCACTGATGTTTCTTTCTCTCTCTTGCTCCCTCTCCCTTCCTCTCTGAAATCAATAAAAATCTATATATTTTAAAAAAAATAGTAACTAAAAGAACTGGTGCTGGGGTTGGATAAATAGTTTTTGGAATATAGTAGCTTTCATTTAAAATCTTGTGTAGTTTCATTGCAGATCATTTCAAACAGGCAAGATTTGGTTAAATATGCAGTATATCTATAAATCCTACTTTTTCCTTTATAACCACGTAAGTGGATTCTATTGACTCAGTATGTAGACTAATACTAACTTTAGACTTAGGAGGGTAGGCTTCTACTTTTTAACTATTTGCTCCCACTCCCTCTATAACTAAGGTCACTGAGTCTCCATGGTTCTTAGATTTATAGTGTCTTAAAATAAGGAAAGAGAAACAGGAAAGAGAAAAAAAGTCATCTTGAAGGTCTGAGTCTCAAGGCCTCTAAAAATGTCACTTGAAAAACTTTTTAGTCAGTCCTTTTGTTGGGATATTTTTTTTTGTCCAATTGCATCTCCTCTGCTATAATCCTAGCCCTTTTATCCTGATCCAATTTCTGGCCCATTTATTCTGATATTAAGTAAAGGTGAGACCAATTCTTCCATCTGCTGTGGACTATTGTATGCATCATTTGTGACATTGAACTTATAATCTACTTAAACCTGAACTAGTCGTAAACAGTGATATATACTTAAAATGGAGCTGTTTTGTCCTTAAAGATGAAGAACATCTGGCTATTTTTCTTATAATTTACTCTAGATTAAACTTCTGTTATTGCTTGACTAATGTTGCTTGAAAAAAAACAAGACTTTAGCTTCACTTGCTATCACTTTTCCTCTCTATATTCACTATTTCCTCAACTTCCTGCATAAATCTCAGTGTTCATCTGTGGGATCAGAGATCACTGCATATGGCAGCAGACATCTGTGCTGTTTTGCAAGTGTTAGGATGTTTGTTCAAAACTTTTTTTTTTTTTTTTTACCAGTGGGAGGATTAATGCATAGAAAGAAACAGGAAAGAGAAAAATACTCATTAAGCTTAATTCACCTTAAATGTTAACAGTATTAAGGGAGCATTTACATTGTATATTGATGTTGCTATAAGAAAAAAATAGTTTTTTAGCTCATGGACACAGGCAATAGGGGGGTGTAGACCTGGGGGGATGGGTAGGGGCTGAGAGGAGGGGATTAAAAGGGGCGGGGAATGGGAGACATCTATAATACTATCAACAATAAAATATATATACTTAAACAAAAGAAAAAATAGCTTTTTAATTTTAAGATTATATATTGAAATATTACTATATATCAATAATACTTTCCATAGTCTTATTTTTTTCTTTTAACTTTGAATTTTGATAATTTCAAACTTAAAGAACAGTTACAATCATAGTAAAAGAATTGGCAAATACCCTTCACCCATATTACCCATATTTACATTGTATATAGATGTTGCTGTAAGAAAAAAATAGTTTTTGCCTAAGTACTTTTTATTGTAAAAACAAGAACATTCTCTTTTAAACCATAGTATAATTCTCAAAGTTAGAGTTAAGTAGTAACTTTAAAGATCAGTGTTTAACTACAGACCTTATTTAGATTTTGCCAGTTGTTCCAATTATTACCAAAATAAAGGCTGGAATTAGATCACACATTGTATTTCGCTGTTTAGTTTCTACTAACCTGAAACAGTTTGTCGGTCTTTTCTGTATTGTAATTTTTTTGAAGGATACAGTTACTAAATTTGGGTTTTTGTCTACTGTTTCCTCGTGATTAAGTTCAGGTTATGTATTTTTAGCAGGAACATCACGAAAGTGCTTAGTGCATCATATTAGGAGGCTCATGATACTGGTTTGTTTTATTCATTACTAGTGACGTTAACTTTGGTCACTTGGTTAAGGTGATATCTACCAGGTTTCTACATCAAATTACTAAGTACAAGTCATCTTTTTAGTATGAAGACTAAATCTTTTTGTGGTAGAAAAGATTTTAATTCACTTAGCATATTGACTTAAAAGTAGAGTGAAAGTTTTCAGGCATTACAGTAGTCTCCCCTTATCTGCAGTTTTACTTTCCACAGTTTTAGTTACCCACAGTCAGGTGTGGTCCAAAAATATTAAGTTCCAAAAATAAACAATTTGTAAGTTTTAAATTACACACCGTTTTGAGTAGTGTGGTGAAATCTTGTGTCCTTCTACTCCATCCTGTCCAGGATGTCAATCACCCCTTTGTCCTGTGTTTCCTGCTGTGTACACTAGCCTACTCATTAGTCACTTAGTAGCCCTCTTGGTTATCAGATGACTATATAGCAGTTCTTGTGTTCAAGTAACCCTTATTTTGCTTAATAATGGCCCCAAAGCACAAGAGTAGTAATGCTAGTATAGTAGATGATTCTAATAGATATACCAAAGAGAACTTAACCTGTAAAAAGTACTTCCATTTGGTGAAAAGTTTTGTATGTATAGGAAGAAACATAGTATATATAGGATTAGGCACTATCTGTGGTTTTAGGCATCCACTTGGGGTTTTGCACTGTATCCCCTGCAGATGGGTGAGTGGGGGCTGGGGGAGCTTCTGTAATTTTACTAGAGTAGTGAAAATCTCTTATTTAGGCGTAGTAGCTTTGTTCTTGCAATGTGGCAACTTTTAAATATGTGTCAGTAATTAAATTGGAGCATTTTTTGACCTTTGAGAAACTTACTTGGTGAGCATTGGGTTTGAAGAACACCTAAAAAATTCTGATCTAGGCTCTAGTGGAATAACTCAGGCCTGTGCTATTTTCACAATTCTTGTCATTGAAGAATTTTAGCTCTTTTTGTTCCCCAATTTGGAACAGTGGCATTTGACTTCCTTAGAATTTACTTTGCAACTTGATCCATACTTCCATTAGAGTAGAAATAGATATATGTCTTTTTTATTTAACTTTATCTGTTTATAGTTAAAGCTGTCTTATATTAATGTTTTACTTCATATTTAGGTTGATAAGATATTCTTATATAAGAAAGATAAAGCAGAATTCCTTTTCTTTCTAATCTTACCTATTCTTTGGACATCTTGAAAAGGGGCTGCACAGGAATTGGTGTATCACATACATTTGTTTCTAAACGAGATTATCTCCTAATTTTCTGACCAATATTTTCCTCTTGATTCATTGCCTTATTTTTATTAGCAGGTATCTTTTTGGTGACTGCAGCAAATGAAAAATTAATCCATTTCTACAAAACAGTATATAGTACTTGTAGGCAGTTATACAGCACTGCTCAAAATTCTTACTTTGTAATAAGATCTCTTTAATTATTTAACTTTCAATGTTCTCTGGAATTCTTCCTTTTCCTCCCATCCAGTATTTGCTTTTCATGTAAAATATTTTTTTGCTTTGGTTCTCCTAATGTAATGTTTAATATAACTTGTTGAGAAGTTAAAATTTGTAGAGGGTCACATTTATTCATTTGCACTTGAAAAAGAACCAGCCATCCAGTCTGGGATTAGAGAGAAAACGTAAAGAATAATGAATAGTATAACCCAGCTCAGTTGTTGAGGGTCGACCTATGAACCAGGAGGTCACGGTTTGATTCCTGGTCAGGGCACATGCTCAGGTTGCAAGCTCGATCCTCAGTAAGGGGTTGTAGGAAGCAGCTGATTGATGATTCTTTTTCATCATTGATGTTTTTATCTCTCTCTCCCTCTCTCCTCCCTCTGAAATCAATAAAAATATATATTTTTAAAAATAGAATGAATGGAATAGTTTTACAGTAAATTGATGATTACATTTATTCCTTAGCCACTAGTCTGATTGAATGACTATCTTTCTTTTTACCTTTGACACACTCTGGTCCCATCCCTTTTCAATGAAAATAATCTAAATGAAGACTCCTTTGTTGGCCTCGTTTTTAAAAAATTCTAGTCAGTAGTCTTTATTGTAATCTATTTTTTCTCTTGATGCTTCTTAAGCTTTGAACCAGTGTCAACCTTCTTCTCAAACATAAATTTTAGTACCACTCCCTCCCGCTTAAATCATAAAAAAGGGCACACTAGTTGTCAGTGTTTCTGTTAGTTTATACATTCAGCTGACTAGCAGTACAGCTTGCTGTTCAGCTTTAGGAAAATTAGTTTATAATTTGGAGAAAATGTATTAATTCAGTTTGTACATTTCTTTCTCTTTAACTTTTTGTTATGGAAAGTTTCCAACATAGTAAAAGTAGAATAGTATCATGAACTCCCATGTGGTTGTCAGCCATCATCATGGCTAATCTTTCCTCCACCTTCTCCCCCCACCATTATTTTGAATCAAATCCCAGGTATTACATCATTTCATTTGTAAACATTTTATGAGGTATGTCTGAAATATTAGGACTTAAGCCCATAACAACAAAATCACTTAGGAATTGGCAGTAGTTTCATATTATCATTTATTATCCAAACAATATTAAAATTTCCTATCTTAAGCTTTTTTTTTACACTTCAAATTATAATCCAAATGATGTTCATATTGCAGTTGGTTGACATGTTCTAGGAGCATTTTGAAAACACAATTCTACTTTCTTTTATAACTTTATATTTTTTAAATTTTCAAGTATTACAGAAATAATATAGTGAACACCTTATACCTTTCATCTAGTCATCAACTTGTCACATTTAGTTTATTTCTACATGTGTATATATACTCCTCCCTCCCCGCTTTGCTCAATCTTTGGAAAATAGTTTGTACACATTTTGGCACTTTACTACTAAATATTTGAGTATTTTCTCTCCTAAGAACAAGGTAATCACCTACATTATAACAATACCATATACCATATCCAAGAAATTTGTGTTTATACTGTATTAGATAATGAGCAGTAGTTTTTCCTGTGTGTACTAATGTCCTTTATAGATTTGATTATTACATTTTAAACTTAGGGTCTGGTCAATTGCATTGATGGAATTGTTTTATATGTGGGGTATCAAATAGAGTAGCTACTGATAACAGGCTGTTATTGAGTACTTGAAATATAGCTAGTGCTGCCCGGCTGGTGTGGCTCAATGGTTGAGCATCCAGGAGGTCACAGTTCTATTTCCAGTCAGGACACATGACCGGGTTGTGGGCTTGATCCCCAGTTTGGGGCATGCAGGAAGAAGCCCATCAGTTAGTCTTTCTCATCATTGATGTTTCTGTCTCTCTCCCTCTCCCGTCCTCTCTGAAATCAATAAAAATATATTAAAATCCTATATAATAAAGAGCTTATATGCTAATTAGACCGAACAGTAGCACAACTGTTCAGACTACCTTCTGGATGAAGCTGGGGCTGCGAGGGCTGACCGAGGCAACCAGGGCTGCGAGGACTAAGCCCCTTGCACGAATTTCTTGCAATGGGCCTCTAATTTTATATATATCTATAGATAGATATATATCTATATCTATATCTATAGATATAGATATATATCTATCTATAGATATATATATATAGATAGATAGATATAGAGAGAGATATCTATCTATCTATGTGTATATATATATATATAGATATATATATATCTCGCCTGGCTGGCGTGGGCTCAGTGGTTGAGCATCCACCTATGAACCAGGCGATCAGAGTTCGATTCCTGGTCAGGGCACATGCCTGTGTTGTGGGCTAGATCCCCCGGAGGGAGCATGCAGGAGGCAGCCAGTTGATTCTCTCTCATTATTGAGGTTTCTATCTCTTTTCCCTCTCCCTGCTTCTCTGAAATCAATAAAAATATATTTAAAAAAATATATGGCTAGTGAACAGAGGAATCGGGTTTTAAATTTTATTTAGTTAATTTAAATAGGTGGCTACTGTATTGGACTGCACAGATATAGAACATTTACCCCATTTTAAAAATGTATTTTATGGCAACTTTTTTCAAGAATCTTAGCTGGTTGTTTGGTAGTGTTCCTCAATCTGAATTTATCTAGTTGTTTCCTCACAATAAATTCATTTTAAACATTTTTTGGCAGGAATACATAGATGTCCTTGATGGGAATACATTGATTCTTTCATAGTACATTATAATAGTAGGGCATATCATGTCAGTTTGTTGTAGTTTTAGAATTCCTTTACCTTTTGAGGATATTTGGGGTGGGGGGAAGCACTGGGGGAACAAAGATAAATAAGATATATAATATAGCCAGAGGGAAATACTCTTAGGTAATGCAATATAAGACCAAATAAAATGTGTTAAAGATACTTGCTGTAGGAATTTAATAACATTCATGCAGTTAGTTACTTATCAGACCTTTACTATTTGCTATAAGCTGGAGATAGAGCAATGAATGAGGTAGACAGTTTTGTTCCTTACAGAGTTTTAACTTTTAACATTTAGTGGAAGGAGTAGACACTAAGTAGTATTGATAAGTGTCATGTAAAATCTTAAGTTGCTTGTTTTGAATAATTATTTAATTACAATTTATCTTTAGTGTAGGAGGCAGTGATAAACATGATCTTTCCCTCCTGTTCCAAGAATTCTTTGGGATTTTGGCATGTTTATGAAATTGGGCTTTTCCCTATACAGCCAAGAAAAATACCTTAATGTGTGTGATAGCACAAATTTATTTTTATATATTCTGTGGTACAGTGTCAGTGTATATAGGTTTTTTTGCTAAGGGTACAATTAAAATACTCTCATGGTCTAATTATTTTTTTAATACTCATCTGAGGATATATTTGTATTGATTTTTAGAGAGAGAGGACTGCAGGGGAGAGAAACAGAAACAGCAACTGTTTGCCTCTTGTATGTATTTGCCCGGGATCAAACCCACAACATAGGTATGTGTCCTGACCAGGAATCAAACCTTTGTTGTACGGATGACACTCCAACCAACTGAGCCATCTGGCCAGGGCTCTCATGGTTTAAGTTAGATCTAAGCACATAAACTATGAAATTTCTTTAAAGCAAGATTTATTAATTGACTGGTGAATCTTTCCCTCTGAAATGGAAAAACTTTGTTTTTCTTAATCCAAGGGAAATTGTTAAAATAATGGTTGACTCTAATCAGTGGCTGTTTGAAAATAAAACTTTAAATTTATGCATTTTCTGTTCAGTTTATTTGCAGTTTTCCCTGCAAATGTATCTTCTACCTTTATGTATCTTTTATGTCAACTATTGGATCGGTCTGTTTAACACTGAGTATTGCTGTTTCTTTTTTCCCCTCAGAGATATACCGCATTGTTTCCCAGAAGCAAATGTCAGACAGACGTGAAAATGACATGTCTCCAAGCAACAATGTGGTTCCTATTCATGTTCCACCAACCACTGAAAATAAGCCAAAGGTGCAGTGCTGTCAGAACATATAAGGCATTTCTCTTCTCCCATAGAAGGCTGTGTATAGTCCATTTCCCAGGTCTGAGATTTAAATATATTTGTAATTCTTGTGGTCACTTTTGTGTTTTATTACTTCCTCATACTTAACAAATTTTCTGTGTTTTAAGTCTGATTTTAGCTTTATAAAATCATCCATTTGTCCCGAATGACTGCAGCTTTTTTTCATGCTATGGCTTCACTAGCCTTAGTTTAATAAACTGAATGTTTGGATTCTTCAATGATTGTTTCCTTTTCATCATGGAAACCTGTCACTGTAGGACATAATAGAACTTGATCACTTGAAGCTCAGACCTGTTGGTCTTGATCAAATCAAGCTAAGAAGACTTTAGAAATAAGCTATCACTTTGCCACAGAGCAGCTTACAATTCATGCACTCTTCTCTCAGTGCATTATATATTACCACAAAGCTAAGAATTGCCCTATAAGCATAGCAGGATTTTGAGAGCTTGAAAATTTTCCATTATTCTGGAAGTCACTTTCTAAAATGCCTTAATAGGGTTATGTACTTTTTGTAAGCATCAAAGTTGATTCGAGAGGGCACCTTTTTTTCTGGGCAAGAATTATCTTAATAAACACAGAAGATTGTATTGTGGTTTTCAGTTGTGTTATGATTATGGATTCTGGAGGCTGGGAATTGGAGAGACTGGTGGAGTTCTACCTGAGGTGCTTCTGTTGGAATGATTAGGCAGCCTAAGTTTAATGATAAGTCATCTAATTTATCTAATATCCCAGCAGTAGATTAGGTGGCATTTTATTGCTCAGGCAATAACTGGTTTAATGCTCTTAGTATCAAATTGTAAAGTGGTAATTTTTGTCTCAAAACCTTCCATTAAATGAAATGCAACCTAGTTTTATCACCATATTCACCAGCAGGCATGGATAATTCTTTTAATAATGCTGATTGTTTAGTTTTGCAGTATATTATGGAATATAGTCCAGTTAAATATCTGGTTTCAGTATGTCAAAAGAATACAGTGAGAGGTTAATTTCTACTCAAGTAGTATCACTTAACGGCATGTATTCTTTTAGTACTTAAGATGAAATAGTACTTTGAGTTTAAATAGAATGCATTTAGGCCATTATACAGACCTGAAATAGTATTCTTCCACTACATTATTGAAATCAATGGAGCAACTAGTTTCTCATTCACAAATGTGCACACTAATATTTAGTTTTACTTTCTTGTGGATAATATTAAGCACTTACTCTGCAGTGTTCTGAAAGTTGTGTCAACTGAAGTGATTCTATTCAGGATGGTGGAATATCCCCAAAATATATATATGTGTGGGATTGCATAGATTACTATGTTTCACAGTTAATCTCCTGTCTTTTGCGATGCTCATGATGTGTGGGGCACACTGAAGGCATTGCTGTGGTTTGTCATTTTGGTTTTCTTATTTTAGTGTATTAGTATGACAACTTATCTGTTTGTAAATCACTACTTTGTATTTTATGCATGCTCTGTAACTTGGCTTTTTTTTTTAGTTATTGATTTGGAATATTCATATTCTAATAAACAGTTATAGGGGGACTATTCTTTATGTTGTCAGATTACATTTTCCCTTTGCTTTGGATATAGTCATAGAATATTTGATTCTGATGAATGAGATATTATAGATTCTTGCATTACAGAGTAAACATGGAGTTGGAGGCACCATTGGGTGAATTCAGCTTTGGTTTTAGACATGTAGTTCAATTGTGCTTTTCTTGGAAAAAGTATTATCAGAAATACAAGGGAAGTAATTAATCTCTATACTTTCATACATAACCCTGTCACTAGATTCAGGAAGAGGCTCCATTGCTCCTTATTTTACTGAAAATTAGTAGTCAGTTTTTTACAAAATTATTTAAGAGAAGGGAAAAATAGGTAGTGAATTGAAAATGATAAAGTAACTGAATTTTTATCAAGTATAGACTTAATGTTGCCTTGGGCATGGTTGGATTTTGGGAGCAGTCCAAGAAACCAGAAGTAATAGAAAATGGCTTTGATTGCATTTCAAGTATCTTCATCCTGAACAGTATCTCATGAGACAAACTGTTTCAAGTAAGAAACATTAAATTTTAAAATATGACAATTAGGGCCCACGGCAGTATAGTAGAAATATTTTGCTGCTTGACCCTACTTTTTAGTTTTTTTAACTTCAATTTTTAAAAAAATTTATTATATTCTCCTGAAAAGTCAGCCATCTTGACTTGTTAAACTTCTTTGTAAATGTTCTCAAGTGCTATCTATGATTTCTTTCTAATAGGAGTTATTACTCTGTAAGAGTAAGTTTTTAAATTTAGCCATTGCATTGAGTATGCTAAATTCTAAGGAATGCTAGCTGGTGAATTATGCCAGAGATTTTTTAAGTTCTGAAGGGTTCTGCAGGAAAGTTAAACTTCTTAAGGGTTTGGATTGCCCATTAAATCTAGGCATATTTATTTAATCATTGGGAAAATGAACATCTTAAATTTTTGTTTTTATTGACTTGTATTTACAAAATACAAATGCTCTCAGTGGTTTGAGCTATTGTGTTTATCTCTTCCATTTCCCTAAAGAGACAAAATGACTACTTAGGCAATTTTGGCCAGTACCAGAAGCAGAATAATTCAAGGACTGAGTGGATAATTAAGAACATATTCCAACCTGTTAGGTTTCAATTTATGGAGCTCTTTTAACAAAGGAGAAAATGGAGATTGGTTTGCTGTTTCACAAACACCATACGCCTGAAAAAAATTTAAAACAAAATATGAATTTTGTTTAAATACTGTGTATGATACTCATTCCCTGTGTGAAAAAAAATGAACAAAGACCATGAAAGGATCCTCTCCCACCACGTCATTTATTGGGTTAGCATAACAGACTAGAGCTGAAAAGAACAGGGCTGATGTTTTTCTCCTGATTGGGGCTGTGCTGGTGCCATATCTCTTTTCTGCCACCTTTTCTACCACCTATACACTGTGCCAAATAAACTAGAGTTGTCATTCTAAAGTTTTAAAGAATGGTGTGTTTTCCCAAACTGTAGGAAGCTATGGAAACGATAAAACAATACAAAATGCTATTATCACTACAGCTTATGTAAGGGAAAACCATTAGTCTGAGAGATAATTTTAATTGAAGTATCTATTTCCCTGAAAATTGAATTGGAAGATAAAAAAAGACTATTTGAAAGGAACTTGATACTAGGCAGGTAGGAGAAAATAAGCAAATTCTGTAAGTTAAAAGAAAGTATAATAGAGCACTGGACTGGGTGACAGAGAGGTAGATTCTAGCCACAGCTCTTTAGTCATTTTATTTCTGAGCCTCACCTTCCAGTTATTGAGGGGACTAGATTAAATTATTTATGGGGTTTACCCCAGCTCCAATTTAGTAATTCTGTGAATGAACTCTCTCTTCATGTACTAGAGCCAAATAATTCATTTTAATTCAAATTTAATAGATAAGTAAAAATGAAGTATATACTTGATGATTTTGGTTTTATCATCGTAACTTGATTAGAATGTTATCTTTATTTTCATCTTAACTCCATTAAATAAGATGAAAGCTTTCAGAACATTTGCAAAATGACTGTCCATTTCACAATATGGTATGCATCAAAGTACCATATGCGCTATGCAGGGAGGAGCACTTGATGGGCTGCTATGTCAACTGTAAATTGAGAACTGCTTGTTTTTTGGCTTTTACTATTAAAATTGCTGGTTTTTAATATACACTTTAAAAGATACTCATGTCTGGGAGAGAACTTTTAAAAACATACTGGGTTCAATTTTTTTAAAATTTCTAATAGGAATCTAAAAGAAGGTAGGTCAATCCACAGCACTAGCTATTCAGTAGAACCAATTATTAAAGAACATGATATTAATGGCAGTAGATCTTAGATCTTATTACCCCCATCCCAATGAATAAGTGTACTACTGCTTTTAGTACCCATTCCCCTACTGAGAACTTAGAGTCTCTCAGCATACCATCTTCTCAGATCTCTGTAGGGAAGTGGTATGGTTCCTTATCTGTAAGAGGTTTCTGACTATATTGTACTAGCCTCTCTGTCAAAGCATTTCATCACAGAGACCTAAGAATATTATAGAAAGTCATGCCTGAAACAGGACAGTCTGGGAAGCCCCAGGATTCAACACTTTTCTGTAGGCTATCTCTGATATGAAAGCAGTTCTGGAGGAGGATGTTAGGAATCTGTTACTGGTCTAGGTTTACATTTAAGTGGATGCCTAAATAACAGCACTTAGTAAGATCTTAGGTCCCCATGTTTTCTCTTACACAAGGCTCTGGAGGGTTACCTGCTGGGCCATACAATGACTTGGGAGGCAGAAGCTGGAATGAGGAGGGATTCTGACAACTCTAGCTACAGACCAGAGCATCTACCTTATGTGGGTTTGGACTGGACCACTGCTCGGGGTCTTTCTAGCTCTTCAAGTCCACTAACCACCTGGCCCTCCATTTACTCCTGCTCTTTTGTAATTGCTACATTGTAAGATCCACAAGGACAGGGAATGAATGTGCTTTGTTCATATTTATATTCCTACTATTTATCCCCCACCTTTAACCATGTGTTAGATGATAAGGAAGAACCATCTTAAAGAGTGAAGGGGCTCACCTCATTTTAGTTTAGCTTGGGGAGCTATAATTTGACAATTACCATTCAGGTTAACATTTTTTAAATTATAAATTATAAAAAATTATAATTATGTAAATAATATTTAATTATACAAAATTATAAATTGTATAATGAGTTCCCATGTATCCATCATTCTTGAATCTTCTCTGTTGAGTACAAAACCTGCAGTATTTATGGTGTTGGGTGGTATGCTGAGCCTCCTAAGTCATAATCTTGAACACTAAATGCCCTTTTTAGCCTTAAAATTTTTGATTATGTTTTATCTTCTATTACGATGTCAAGGTCCAGCCCTTGAGAGTTGTTTATTTTTAGGAGAGGAGGGTCTTTTCTGAACACGTTTTAATCTCAAACTAGCAAAAATGTATTCTTGGTTAAACATTTTATTAAATGGGAGTACTTTTTGAGTATCACATAAGCCTTGTTAACAGACCAGTTGAAATGTTTTAATTTGACTTAAGTATGTACAAACCTTTGAAAGTCTGAAGGAGAAATTTTAAAATTATACCATTAAATACATTCAATAAGCTGTTTTTTTAGCATCTGTATTTTATAATAAAATTAATCCTGCTGCTGCTTTACTAGTTAGGTCACAAGGTCATGTTTTAAAAGGTCCTAAAATAGTTGCATCCAGAGTATAGTACTGGGTGATAACTTCTAATGGAAAGCTACTCATTGCTCTTATGCAAATTAGGTGGCCCTTATATTTGCCTTTATCCCCATTCCATAGAACAGCAGTCGCCCAGTCCAAAAGGTTGGCAACCGCTGCCATAGAACTACCTTTGTGCCTCTGAAGCTGAGCACAAGCTGTAATAGTTGCCTTTGAGTCCAAATCTTTGTGAAAACAAGAAATTCTCTATTTGAGTATACTAATGTTTATGAGCTATTGCAGTAATTTTTGGGTATGAATTAAGAATATGTAGTTCCCATTCATTACTTTAAAGGAAGAGACTCTCTTGTTATAAATTTGATAGAACTTTTTCACTTTATGTTCAAGCACCCAGGAGGTAATTTTCACTCATCTAGCAGTCTAAATTGACCACACAAAATGTAGGTTAGTTTACCTTTACTGGTAAACCTGAGGTGTAGATTTTAGACACATTTTTGGTTTGCAGCACAACAGTATGCATTCCTGTAAATTAGTTTGAGAAATTAATTTTATTTTGTACAAGGTATGATCCCTCTGCACAGTGAACAAATATATTACAAGTCTGCGTTGCTTAAAAAAAAGTATTGCCATATCAGCCTCACTTATGCTGTTGTACAATGATTGTTTTCTTTATTCATTTGAATTATATGCACATCACTTTGAGTGAAGACTTAGTTTCTGTATAATACTTGAACATATCTTTCCAAGTTGTCAATAAAATGCACATGTTTAGGTTGACAATGAACTTACTTGTGACAGTGCTAGACAGAAGTTCCTAACAGTTGCTCTATAAGATTGAAATGTCTCTTACCAGTAACTCTTAGGTTTGTGAAGACAACTGTTGTCACCATCAAGTAATCACACCCTCTGTCTTTCCCTTTTCCTGTATGGCCTGATTTAATTTGTGGTACATTTCCTTAAAAATCAGAATGCTAGAGTTGAAGGGTTTTAGGGTTCCCTTACCCCTTTGCTTCTTCCTTTCTTTACACACAGGGGAAAAAGAGCCCAAAGAAGGCAAAAAATCTCTTGATCCAGTGCTTTAGCAATTCCACCATGCCACCTCTTGCTGAAATTTGCCTAGAAGACAGTTGGCAAAAAAGAGGTGAAACTTGAACTTGAGTGATAGTGCTTGTTTGCAGTTTGCCAGGCAGCAGTTACTGTACATGCAGGGTAAGGGAAGAAGATAAAACCTGGGTTTGAGATGAAGTTCTCCTTGCTGTTCTGACTTCACCATGATTCTTAGTTCTTGCTTCACAAAGTAATTGAGCACTTGCTGCCCTGAAATACTGAGGTAAGCCTCTTATCTATATTTTTTTTCTACATATGTATGAGAAATATTTACTTGGGTCTACAAAGTAATTTTCTAGTATTTATATTTAATAAGACTTTTTGGAAAGTAAATTTGCTATTGCTGATTGCTTGCTCCCATGCACACATGCAGCATTCATGTTAAGTATTAGATTATTTCCCCCTAACAACATTTGCTTAAGCCTTGAGTGAAGTGGGGGAAGGGGGATTATTCATTTTTGTCCTTGCTTTTGCTGATTATTGGCCAAACTAATGGGTTCCATGGCAGACTTCCAATTTGTATCAAGGACTTCAGAACTCCCACACTTCCTGTAGCAGCTATTCCAGCTTTGCAGTCATGTACTTCCTCTTCTATATACCTTTTGGAAGTATTTTTACTGGCAGAACTATTATCAGAGAATGGAGTGGTATAGGGGTGCCCATTAGTTTTCATGGTTTGCCCTGTCAGTCTTTAATTCTTGTGAGGAGGTCCTCTTTAAGGCCTGGGGGCTGACTCCATTTAGACTCATCTGAGCCTATTTACCTATGTTCATTAGTAATGGAAGGTATAGATATGTCTGAATACTGGGATCTGGAGCATTAGCTCATTGTAATTCAGTTTTGGCCATCTCAGCAGGCGGTGGGTTTAAAGTAGAAAGTAAAAGTTCTTCATGTCCTTATGTGCTATTTACTATAAAGTTTTTACATCGTTACAACAGCTGACTATAGTCCATTCTTTCATCATTTCAATTTAATTCCATCAGAAAGCATAATGTACTTTAAGCAATTTTAACTTGATATATCCTCTTTTGTTTAATTTCCTCTATACCAGGGGTGGGGAATGTCTGATTTGTGGGCCATATAAGGTCTGAGAAATCATTTGTTCTGGCCCTGCCCAGGCATTAGTGGTGAGTTAATTAAATGTTTGACCAAATATAACAGGCTAATTTTAAGTTGATAATTTTGTATGGCCTGCAAATGATGTTATAATTATCTAAATGGCCCTTGGCAGAAAAAGGGTTCCCCATCCCTGCTCTACACTTCTAGTTCCATATTATATCCAGCTCTAGATTTATGAAGAAATGCTTGAAAGCAAGTACTCTTCTGAGTCAAGGAATGCCAACCAAATAAACTTGATGAGACGCTAAATAGCCATTTTTAGGGATACTTAATTCTTACCAGCCTGTGACTGCTTGCTTAAAGCATCACAGTTTTATTTCCCATGGAATGACTCAGATGTTGGGCGACCAAGGAGATATGACAAGGCCAGGGCTGAGTTGGCAATGTTCTGAAACTTTGAATTGGCAAGATTTGGCCAAAACCGGCCAGAAATACTGTTGTAGACTGAAAGAGACTGTTGAGCTTTGAAAACATTTTTCTTCTACTACCAGCAGGGGCAGAAGAGGGAAAGTTAATTTGTATTTATGTATTATTATTATTTTAGCTTTCAGTTTTATTGGTTGCATATAGCTGAACTCACAAACTCTGGTTCATTCTTAAAATGTTCTTTAAACTGAAATTGACTCTTAGAGAAACGCTTCATCTATTACCAAGGAAGATAATACTATTTTAGATAGCAAAATGCAGGTTCTTGAGCATCCTGATAAACTTGGTGCTAATAAGAGAAGAATGGATTCTAATTTCTCATCTGAGATGTTAAGCCAGGTTCAGTGCTACACATAATTTGTATTTATTTAAATCTTATTTTAAAAAATTGAAGTTGTTAGCATTAGCCTACATAATAATCTGTAATCTTGGCCATTGTAATTTGATAGACCAGACATATATGTACAGGTACTTTAGGATTGATAGATATTAGCACAGTTTTTGTCTATGTACTAATTATCTTAGGTAATCAAACAGATGTTGATGGTAACAGCAACCAAAAGTACATATACTAGTACATTTTAGGTATTTTAAATTAATCCTCTCCCCTCCCCAGTCCCCCTTTCCTCCTAGGAAGGTTTATAAAACCTATTCTACATGCTCTTTAAGCATCATGTTTCAGATAATTAAATATATAAATAATATAGTTAGCTATATTTAGCTGATGTTGATGAGTAGCTGTATCTTAAATGTTTTAAAAGATCATGTAATCCAGGTCTTTTGGAGTTGGGGGTTGGGTGGGTGATAGGATTTACCTTTGCAAACAGACCTTTTGAGCAATTACCCCAGTCCCACTTGGAAGCTCTTCTTTAGTTCCAGGTGAAAGTAATAACTAACACGCAGCTGAAGTCAGTCTGTACCATTATTTCAGGTCAGGGGATTGTCTTCTTTCAGAGTCAGAGAATATTCAGCAGAGCACATTGCAAGAGAGAAGCTTATCCCTCTTAAGACTGCTTGTCCTGGGAGGGCTCATTGGCAGGACTCAGTCTTTCTGGGACGAGGTCATAATGACCAGGAATATGGCTGTTCCTAGGTAGGTCGTATGGATTCTGGATATAGCTGGAGTTGGGACCACGGCCTTCTTGGACCACACTGACTGTGGGCTCTAAGGAATATAGTGAAAAATGAGTTCAGAGAACAGATTAGCTTTGGTTGTCATGTTGCGGGGAAGAGAGTTCTATTTAACTGGGTGGTGAGAGAAGCCAGGGATTTATAAATCTGTGATAAATGTGAGGGTTAGGACTAATGCTAAGAGATGGAAAACATAAGTGAGTGTGCTGTCAGAATCCCATCCAAAGCTTGGTCAAAACCAAAGAGATTTAGAATGTCTTAAATATTTAGAATATTTAGAATGGGTGGGTCCTTAATTGTGGCGTAAGGTTTTCATTGCTATTCTTAGCACTGAGCCCAGGAACATGGGTTAGACTGGGAGAAAATAGAAGGTGGTGATTTAGAAAGTTAATAAATATTCTGGTCTGATGGTTTTCTTTTTTAAACTGGGATTTGTATCAACAATCAGTTGAGGTGTATGTGTGTGTACCCACTCCCCACCCCCAGTATTTCTGCATCATACTAGTCATGGTATGTTTCTTTTTTTAAAGCAGAGTTGGCACAAGAATTTGATTTTCTGCATGAGAGAGGAGGGTAGTCCTGGGGAAGGCAGTTCGCCTTGGATTCCTTAAAAAGCAATAAAAAAATAAAAAACGTGTGTTTTCAAGACAGGGTGAGTAGATAGGGGTTGTTTTTATTTCAGATGCTGCACTATTGCCCTGATTTTGCTAAGTTACTTATTTGAGACACCTACCAACTTCATATATATTTTTATTAGATGTCGACAAGGATGGCACATCTGTGTACGGAGACCCCCTGTGCACAGGCGACTTCATTTCTACATAGCTGCTTTCTGGAAGCTTGCAGGTGAGGATGGGTGGGTCCTTAATTGTGGCGTAAGGGTTTTCACTGCTGTTCAAGGAACAAGTGCTAGAACTGCACACGGATTCTTTCATGTAATCTGCAAGGCAAGAGAGATTTCTTAGTATAAGCAAGAACATAAGACTTAGTTTAAATACCAGAAACAGACTGCAGTCAAGTGCATGTGCTTTTGGGATCTTGGAGCTGTAAAAGCCTGTGACAGTCCAAGATTTACTTAGGAAAGCATTCAACGTACTTAATAAGTAGGTAGAGTTCTTTTCCTAAAAAAACTTATGTTTTTGGAGGGATAGGAACATTTTTGTTTTTAGTAGTCAGGGATAGCACCAGAGAGATTAATTTAAGATATTCATAATGTACTTTCACATCTATTATTTAATGTTTACAAAATCCTGCAAGGATAGTTGATAGTTTGCATTTTATAGGATGAAGGCCCAGAGAGAGATGAAATGTCTTGGCTAAGGTCACACAGCTCATAAGTGGCAGTGCCAAGACTTAAATCTATGCCTTGGGACTCCTTGGCTGTGCGTTTTCTGTAATACCATTCTTTCTGAATTTGTTCTGATGATTAAGATGCTTAGGTTCAGGAGAAGTTGTATGTGTGTGTGTGTTGGCACAGGTGCTAGCAATTTGGTATCCTTTTAGCAGCAAATTGGCTGCATCCCTGTTCTCTGAGAAGCTTGTGATCAGAGGTGGGGCAGATAGAAGTGTAATAGAGGTCTCAGAAACACCTGGGTCTTCAGCTAGCCTTTGGAAAGTTCCCATTTTCGTGCAAGCCTGCAATGTATTCTCTGGGGCAGGGGTCCTCAAACTATGGCCCGTGGGCCACATGCAAATACAAATATTGTATTTGTTCCCGTTTTTGTTTTGTTTTGTTTTGTTTTTTTACTTCAAAAATAAGATATGTACAGTGTGCATAGGAATTTGTTCATAGTTTTTTTTTAAACTATAGTCTGGCCCTCCAGTGGTCTGAGGGACAGTGAACTGGCCCCCTGTTTAAAAAGTTTGAGGACCCCTGCTCTGGGGTCATTTACCTCAGTTCTTGTGAATGCTAAATGAAACCTATTTTAATAATTTTCTCTGATACTAGGGGGAACTCATGCTTCCTCTCCTGCCACCCCTCAGGCATGCATCATCCTCCATACTTCAAGGAATGTTAGGGTAAAGAGATACAAACTAGTTTCCCAATAAAAAGCCAGGTAACTAGCTCCACTAGAGAAAGTTCACTTTGTGATGGAGTTACACAAGGAAAGGGGAGCCCTTCCTTCAGTCTCTACCCCATTCTTTTGGAGATGATCACTGCCTCTTGTAGATTGTCCCAAGTGATTAGGGCTTTATTACTCTTACTCTCTGTGACCTGGCAGTTCTGGTCCTCATCTGTCTGAGGCTCTGCCAGCCTTGGTGGGGGGGGTGGGTGCATCTAGAAACAAGCACTGAGTTGGAGGGGCTTGAAAGTCCAGAGTGATCTAAATCACCTTTCAATTCTAAATTTCTACAAGTGGTAGCAGGTGGTGATATTCTTGGATGATCCTTCTCTAGAACTATCACAAATTACATTTGGGTTGCTGTTTATCTCTGCTTTCTGCTTCCAACTTGTGAAATTGATGGAAATGTAAAGGGAAAGTGATCTTGTAACTGGAGGGGTGACTAGACGAACCTTTGTACAGTGAGAACAGAACAGAACATGCCAAGTGGCTGAAGTAGTTGAGGTATATGTTACCACAAGTAGTCTTTTCTTCCCTAATGGTGATTGTGAGGGGATTTACTTTTCTGTTGGGGTAGAGTTGATGTCTGTTTCAGCAGGTAGCATTTCTTCAATCTTGTACAAAAGTACATTGACCTATTAGTTCCTTCAAGTGTTCATAACACCCTGTGGTGTAGGTAGAGCAATAATATGATTCTCGCCACTCCCCCCATTGCTTATGAGGAAATTGAGGCTTCATATGGGGAAGTGACTTCTCTAGGGTCATACTGCTAATCAGCAAAGCAAGCTCTAGAACCAGGCTCAGAGCACTTTTCCATCACAACTTAGCCCACAGTGGAGAGGGATATTGTCTTGGCTCCATCTTAAATTATGGCCTCTTTCTAGCATAAAACCCTAGACAGAAGGAGAAAACATTCTTGCTAGACAATGAGCAGGCCCAGCCAGCCCCAGCAAGGACTAAAGGGAGGCTGCATTGTCCCAGCTGCTGTTTAGGTCAATGGGGAAGGGGTACCTATGGGTCCTGTACCACGACCTGCTTCTAGTGAGTACTTTGTTTCTTCCAACTGGGAGTGGGGCTAAATCCAGGAACTCTGGTAGTATGGCTCATTGGTCCCACTTTGGGTGTTCTGAACTTACCAGCCAGGGAGTAAGGCAGTGTGCCTCAGAGGCTTGTTTGGAAGCTGAGGATTGGAATTGCTTAAAGAAGGGCTGTCTCCTGAGAGAAGTCCTAACAACTCACCCCTCCTGTCCTCCCAAATACATCCATTTACTTTGTTTGGCAGCTACCTCAGTTGCATATTTTCTAGAACAGGGTTTGCCAACCGGTGTGGTCTGTGGACCACTGATAGTCCGTGAGGTCCAAAAGGTTGGCGACCACTGTTCTAGAACTTAAGGAATATCGATAGCTCGCTTTGTGTGGCACTTAAAACTAGTATTTCGGGTTAGTCATTTGAAACTTGTTATATCTGTGAAGGAGGCTGGGCAGGAAGGACTAGTATTACTACTCTAGTAACGTGGAAACTGAAACTCATAAAGTTTGCTTAATGTTAGTAAGTAGTTAAGACTCAACCCCTGTCTTCTCTGATACCCAATCAAGGTGTTTTTCTCTTCTATCAGTTTCCTTGTGCTCCTGTGCCCTTCTCCGATATCTGTACTAAATGCAAAGTATATCTGCAGCAGCTTCACCTTACCCTCAGGGAACACCTTTTATCTTAGGGCCAAGCCCTGCTGAAAGAGAAAGGCCAGGCTCTAAGCTTTTCCTGGATGTCCCTTGACTGATTCAGGGATAAGGCAGTGTGCCTCAGTGAGGAGAGCCTTGGCAGTGGGAGAGCCATGGGGCTCTAGCTCAATGCCTAATAGAGCCCCAGCCAGGCAATAGTGCCCCTCTTTTCATTTCCACCAGAAAAGTCATGGCTGTTTCAAGTTTGGGGGAATAAATTGATCTGCAGCAGGGGACACACCTAAATGGATAAAGGAGAAGTTGGGGTGGTGGGGGAGGTGATTAGTGTCAGGGAGAAGCTGTATTTTCCATAAAGAGGTCAGCAGTAAAGAAAAGGATGTAATGTGTGAGTATGCGCGCGCGCGCGCGCGCGCGCGTGTGTGTGTGTGTGTGTGTGTGTGTGTGTGTGTGTGTGTGTGTGTAGGTGAAGTGAGGTGGTAGGGGAAGGTATTGAGTTATGGAATAATCTGGATTCTGGAACTGGTAGTTGGGGGACATCTAGGCAAGCTGGAAGCTGCTCTCTTCTCCAGCTGAGTCATCTACCTGCCTGCCCAGAGGGAGGGAGATGAGGGAGAGAGGGCCGGACAAGGGGAAGAAGAACCAGCTGCTCTAAGATATTTCCTCATCCTTTTAGAGTTCCACCCTTCCGCCCCTCCCCAAGGCCAGTCCCTGCACTTCAGGGCAGTTTACTAAGAAAGGGGAAGCATCAACCAAGGCTACCCAAGCCCAGTCACTCCTCCAAGGCCTGTAATTAGTATCAATATTAAAGGGTTAGCCCAATAATGCCCTAGCATTTGCTCTCAGCTAGTTTCTACCGCTCAAAAATCACACACAGCCATATACTATGGGAGGCAGAGGGAACTCTAAAATCTAATGTAGACATCTTAATTTGTAAAAGGGAGCAGCAAACCAGAAGGGGAAGTGACTTTCCAAGGCCACCTTGTAAGTGGGATCTGAATTTACCAGAGCTTTAGGTTCAAATAACATCTAGCTAAGGCCAATATTTTACTGTTGGGGAAAACCTTAGGATCCCATCTTAGCTGACTACTATTATTAGAAGGCCACACTGCCTTTTTCTGGGCCTGAAGTTAGCATCTTCTCTGGATTGAGAGACAAGGATATGGGGAGAGGAAAGGGAAGATATCAGTCAGGAGCACCACAGTAGATGAAAAAAGTTTTCAGGATATCAGTAGGCTCCTAACTACCTTGGAACCCAAGGCAACTCCAAGAAGAGACTTGGTTAGATTACCAAAGGGCATAAGGTGGGAAAAATGGCAGCAACGGTGGGATCCAGGATTTCAGGATCATGAAGGTGATGGAGGGTACTGGGGAAGATTTCTTCTACAGCAGTTTGAAATGCCTGATAGACAAGGAATTGAACATGAGGTTGTTTGTTGCCAAATCATTGTGCAAAGGGGGAGAGCAGAGAATACTTAAAGACTCTTCACTCTTAATTGTTTGGTCCAGTAGGTTTAGGAAATAAGTTCATTCCTGGTACAAACTAGTTTAGTAAGTATTTATTTAGGAGGTCAGCCAGTTATTGTGGGTTTGTTCCATGTCTTTGATAAGTAGTTCTGTAAAGTTTTGAAGTGGGACATTCCATTTTCCTCTTTGAATTCTCTTGTTCAGATATGTTGGTCCCCAACACATGCTGGTACATTTGCCTACACAGCCCTCTTTTCTCTCTAAGTTAAAGGACGATTGTAGCCACAGTGGTGAAACAAAATCTGCACTCAGAGGCTCAGATATATGACCACAAAACAGGAATGAATGACACTGAAGCAGAGACAGTGCTCTCCTTAGCGTTGTTTTATATTCATGGTTGCAAGTCTGAAAGTAGCTCTAATCACAATGGGCAGGACAACACAGTGCATAGCAAAGTTGTGTGCTCATTTGTTGAGGTGTCTGGGCCTGTCTTGAGCTTATTTATGATTCAGTAACGCATATTCTTAGAGCTGGAAAGGCCCTTAATAATATTTCTGTCCAAACCTCATGCCTATTTGAGAAAGAAACAGGTCTCAGTTCACAGTGCTAAAACAGTAGAGCTGTCTTTTCTGTATTAAAAGGGGAAGCTGCTGTAATGGTGCTTGCCTTCATTGGGATAGTTTAAGTCAAAACTCACAGAAAATTGCCAGAATAATGCTCCCAAGGGAGTGTTCGCTAGCTGGCCAGGAGCTTAGGCATGACCTCCTGTCTCCAGATGATTCTCTTGAGCAGTGTGCACTCTAACATGCTGATGGAGACTTGCCCTTCCTGTCTCTTGCTCAGAGTACACTTCTCACCACCACCACCCACCCTTAGCTCACCCCATTTCTAATAGCTACCTTACTGAGGGCTTTAGATGACTAGCTCTCCTTCGTTAGGAAATGGTTGTGTCTTTGGGCGTGTCTAAGGTCGAGTTGGATAAACCAGAACAGTAATCCAGGAAATCTGGGTCAGCTTAAATCAGTGGTTTCTAAGTGTTAGTTGGGTCATTGCTGCATAGGAATACCCTGAGATGCTCTGTGCCAGTGCAGATTCCAGGGCCCCACTTTAGGTCTACAGCATCACAATCTTGTGGAGATGGGGTATGAACATCTGTAGTTTTAGGAAGCTTTTCAGGTGATTCTTTGCACAGCTAGATTTATGATATCCATTGGGACCTCTGCTGTCAGTCATCTCTTACTTGGTTTGGCTGAGACTCTTAAATAGACTTCAGAGACAAAAGGACAGCCTTGTTACAGTAGTACAATCCTTTACAGTATGCAAAACACTTCCCATCTGAGATTTTATTGAATATTATGACAGCCTTGCTAGACAACAGGACGATAGGCATAATTATCCCAACCCTGTAGATGAGGAAACTGGGCCTTGGGGAGCTCACAGTCTAAGGTCTCAGTTAATAAGTAACAGAATAGGAAGTGACATGGTTCCAAAGCTACCTATTTCACACCTTCTGTCACTTAAACCTCAGCCTAAGCCCAGGAATAGGACCTGACCTTTCACCCCATCTTTACTCAGAGACTTCCTAGAAGGACGACTCGACTTGAGTTCCCATGTGTTGGGATTAGTCCTCGTGTCCCTGCTCTTGGGGCAGAGATTTCTTGAGGGTGGAGTGCCATTCATCATTAGGGTATCATTTTCATTTCCTTGTGCTGCAGAAAGCCAGCAGGTGGCAGGGTGGCGTTCCTTACCAGTACAATGACAGGAAGCCTCTAGGGCAGGTAGATTGACTTTATTTCAGATTTTTAATCAGTTTAACTCGTACTAATTGGTTGGATAATGGCGTTCTACATTTCCAAAGACATTTATTAGGCATCTATAAAAAACCCACAGCATTTGCTAAGCAGGTGCAACTGAGATCAAAAGATGAATTTATTATTATGGTTGCTCCTCCTGGGCGGAGCTACCCAGCAGCCCCAGGTCCTGTGGTCTTTTAACTTTTAAGGGGCTTGGGGGGAACAGGTGCGCAGTTCTCTCTGGTAGAATTTCTGGCCATTTCAGATCTGTACTCTTTATCTTGCTAAGCCCTTTCTAATGGGACGTCAGGATTGGATACTCTACCTTTGAAGCCTTTGTCCATAATGTATGTGTTTTGACGTCTATCCATTTCACAAGCACCTGCAGAAAGAGTATAAGGGAAGAAAAATATGGGTGTGTGTGAGGTTTACTTGGACTGCATGTATAGGTTTCAATATTTTGTTTGCCTTTTTCTCTTTCTCCCCTACCCAGAAAGTAAATAGTTCTTTAATGCTAGAAAATTGTTCTGGGTTTACTTTTACTCTAAATCTTTTTGGCCATATAGTAATTCTTAAAAGGCTCATAAGCATTAATGGTGAGCTACAGCGCCCCCTGGCATATTCAGCATTCCTCCTCTTTAACCTTCATTCTGAGAGGAATGTTTTACAGGAGGCAATCAAAGACAGTTCTGATGCCACCTACAGTCACTATAGGTGAAGTTCTAGGCTCCAAAAATATATGATAAGGAATGAATCAGAACCATTTTTTAGCTTGGGAAAGGTGCTTGTTCCAAATCCTAGTTCTTTTGGATTTTAGAACAGGGTGGAAGACTGTTTCTTACTTCTCAGCTCTGGTCCTGCCTCTCCTCTTCTGGATCAGAAGCTTGACTGAGGGGACCCAGAGAGGGAGGTGGACAGGTGACTGAGGTCATCTTTATGGGATATACACTCATTCCCCATCCATAGTCAGCTTTCTTAGTTATTCCTTCCTTTTTGGGTGGACCATTTACACCTAATTGAGAGCTGTCTCTGAAAAGTATTATCGGTGTTTTTCAATCCCAAGGATTTCTTTCCTCCCTTTCAGTTGTCACAGTTTCTCCTAAGCTCCCCCAGTGCATGGTCCTGAGCTCAAGCCACAGGCAGGACATACAGCTTCAGGGACCAAGCTCAGGCTCTTTGCAGCTGTTGATCCCAGAGAAGAAACTGTCTGGCATTTTTCGGTTGGAGCAGTAATGACACTGGCTCAAAGTCGGAGCCATTTCCACACCCTACCCCCACCCCAGCTTTTGATTGAAGACACAATACCAGGCAAGACATGCAACAAGTGCTTACAGCTTGGCTCCTCTGGACTCACTAGTTTCTGATACTGACAAACCAACCTGTTGCTGTTTAGATACTCCCCATATCTCCTCCATATAGAGTTCTCAAGTTGAATTTATAGGAGTCTACTCTTGTCTGCCGGCCTTCCATACATTACTGAGTGATAGGGCAGAACCAGGTCTAAGGTTTTCTCAGGTTTGCTATTCTTCTACTGGCCAGTAAGTATCTGTGCCCTTCAGAAACATGACTGCAATAGTCTGTATCCCTGGCATTTCGGTCAGCACTTTACACCAGACAAGGGTTGCCTTTGCCCTCCCTGAGGGACGGAGGCTAGGCTCTTCACTTTTCCCCTTTTCATATAACGGGAAATAGAGGCCCAAAGAGGGGCAGTGACTTGTCTGCGACCACACAAACAAGTGAGAGGTTGAGTTGCATCTAGACCTCTCCAAGTATTCTCTCCCATTGGCCACCAGCCTGGTTGGATAAAAACCCCAAAATGACTAAGTGGTGGCTCTGGCTACACTGGTTGAAGAGTGAGATCTCAGAGCAGGGAAAAATCTGGGCTGAGCCCAGAGGATGCTCCAATGTGGAAAAAGATACAGGGGGGTGGTAGTGTATGTGTGTGTGTGTGGGGCGGGGGGATGTAATTGGTGGGGTTACTAAATGCCCTGGACACTGCCCATGAGCCCCATAGCCAAGAATACAGCCTCCTGGGTACAGGTTCAGGGCCTCTGCAGCCCATGCCTACTCAATCAGCAGATGAATGGGAATCTTCATTTAGTGTTACCGGGTCCAGAGACCTGCAGGGGTTGATAGAGCTGTTTCCCTTGAGCTCTAGAAACCAGCTAGAGCTTGAGCTCAGGCCAAGGTTGTCTAGTGTGCTGAGGTCCTGCCCTAAGGGGGCACTTGTAGGAAGCCCACATTCTCTGTTCATTCATAGCTCTTGCTCCTGTGATACCTCCTGTAACTTCTACCCACAATCTTCATTGCAGGACTGACTTTCCAAGTATCCTTTCTGCATATTTGCCAGGCTACCAAATTTAAACCTAATACATAAGCACAGAGGATGTTTGTTGACACATCCTGCCCAAGCTTCTCCGATCCCTACGGGACAGCCTTACCCTAGTATCTGGGAGAGCTTAGCCTAGGCCACTGGTGGGTCTGGGGGACATTGGGCTTTGGTGAGAGAGCCTTCTGTTTGCCATCCACACTCAGATGACCCAGATAACCCCAAAGATGTTGCCATCCTCAGGTCATTTCTCAATGGTTTTGGGTTGTATTCTGTGGACTGCAGGGATTACAATTATGTTGTGTCCCCTTCCTCTAATACCAGTCATAGTTTGTCCACATCCACTGACCATGATGGGAGCAGGCAGGTCTCATTTGTTAGGGAATTGGAATTGTAGACTAATCATGTTTGGAGGGAGGGGGGGTTTCAATGGGGAGAGTTCTTGGATGAATGGGGATGGTTCAAGCGAGGGGCAGGAGTGGGAGGTAGGGCCAGTGCTGAGTCTGGACTGGTATGAGAGTCTTAGGGATAGAGGGTAGGGCTGGGGTTGTCTAACCTGGTGAGTGTGGCTCAGCGGGGTGGCTGAGGTGTCTAAGTTCAATGTAGAAGTCCTCTGGCGGGTACCTGGCCTCCAGGGCACTGATCTGGAAATGGGAGTCTAGTGAGAGGAATGACAGGGAGGAGCCATTATTCCCAGGGCCCTGGTTTGGCAGGGGCGGGGATGGGGTCTGAGGGTCATGGTAGGGCAGGCTGGAAGGAATTAGGGCCCCTATGTGTAGCATCCAAAGGGGCTGGGGCCAGCAGGGCCTTGGGGATTTGCTAGAGCTGAGGCCATTGGCCTTGCTTCTCCACCCCCTTTACCCCTAACCCCCAATCCCACGCCTTACAGGAATAGGTGTCCACTAGAACAGTGGAAGAAACCCTTGAAAGGGATACCTTGTTAGGGCCTGGGTCAGACAGGGGTTCCTTTTCTAGATGTGAGTGCATCTTTGGCCTCCATCTGGAATCTCCGTACCTGGGCTAGTCATCT